GTGACCATTCAGTTAATGACAGATCAAAATTATGACGGCCTTGGAAAAAGTGACTTACAACCTGTATTCACACTTACAATTGTCTCACCATTGCCTTGTAGACAGAAGCACCAGACTTGTGAGATTCAAGTGACTCCCATCTGTTTTTTTGAGCTACCTCCTTTGGAAAGAGATTTTGGACAAACATTTAGCACTACAAGAGTGCAAATAATGTAGATATTCATCTGAGCTAATTTTTGCTTAATGCAGCTAAAGTGCCAATCCATGGTCATATTAACATTATTTCTTTTTCTTAATTTACTTAACTCACTTTACAGAAATGAAAGCACCTTGGCGCTTCAAATGATGAGGAAGTCACGACTGCTTCTCCTGCTGTTCTCAAAGGATGAATAACATAGAATCTCACAGCAGGATACAGCCTACAAAAGTCCCTTCTTTTTAAGGCTTGCTATCAAATTGTACTGTGACAGGAAGCCCATCAAACACATTGACAGTGATCATGCCCCTTGCATTCAATTAATTTTAACGTGATCAATTCCAATTTAGCTTTTGTCTCGGGGCCACCCATTTCTTTGCTGCCTCTGGTATCTTCCTCAAGATCTTCTACAACCAAATAAAAATTGTTGGCCTGACATTTTGTATCTAGTCCCATTTCCAGCTATTAAGCACACAATTTATATGAATCTCTGATTCCACCAACCTTTGACTTTGGTATTGCACTTGTCAAAACACATCACTGAGGCTATAACCACACATGTCAGATGTCACCATTTAGTCAATAAAAATAAAAGGTCATGGTTTCTTCAGTTTCATATATGTATCTAACTGAGATTTCATTCATTTAATTGTATCCTAGACCACAAAGAACCTGACTAATGGAATTAAGAATATAAACTATCCAATTTAATCAGGAACAACAAAAAAAAAATACCTTTAAATGAACTGCTTGCAGAAATTGTAATGATTAGTTATGTGGGTTGGTCAGAACTGTGTTAGCTCAGGAGAGAAGTTCCTATTTATATTAACTACTATACAAAGCAAAATTATGGATGGTTATCCTCAAGAGATTTTCTTTACATTGGGTGGGTTCACACATCCTACTATGCCATAGCTTGTTTGGTTTGGCTTAGATATTGGGTGGCTATTGTGGCTTTTGAACCAATGTGTTTTGTATGAATGCAGCAGTTAGGTTGGTAACTTTATTCTGCTTTCCCTTATCTGACAGATCAATTTAGATCAACCATTTCCTCCCATTATTCACCAGCCTTAAGACCAAGAGAAGATAAAAGCCTTTTGTAATCTGGTGTAGCCTGCTTATTGGCCAGGAATAAACAAAATAGCTATGCTACTTTTTTCTTTGCACCATCCACTTCCTCTGAAGGAGAAACACTTTCATTTGGCTGCTGCAAGTCTCTGTTTGCTGGTGGTGTCAAAGCTCCAGATTATACATCAGGGTCAAGGTTACTGCTTTATTGGCAACTCTGCTCTGCTGACACTGAGATAAAGGTTCAGATGGGATGGGACAAAGGTGGCACAGATGCCCACAATTTTGTCAAGCAGCCCGTTCTTCCACCATCCCACCTTTCTCAGCCAGCTGTACTGCAGTCCAAAATCAGAGAATGAAGAGAATAACAGAGTTGGAAGGGACTTTGGAAGTCTTCTAGTCCAACTGTCTGCTCAAGCAGGAAACCCTATACCATTTCAGACAAATGCATGTCCAGTCTCTTCTTAAAAACCTCCAGTGTTGGAGCCTTCACAACTTCTGGAGGCAGGTTGTTCCATTGGTTAATTGTTCTAACTGCCAGGAAATTTCTCTTTAGTTCTAGGTTGCTTCTCTCCTTGATTGGTTTTCATCTATTGCTTCTTGTTCTGCCTTCAGGTGCTTTGGAGAATAGGTTGACCCCCTCTTCTTCGTGGCAGCCCCTGAGATATTGGAACACGGCTATCAAGTTGCCCCTAGTCCTTCTTTTCATTAAACGAGACATATCCAATCCCTGCGACTCTTCTTTGTATGTTTTAGCCTCCAGTCCCGTAATCATCTTTGTTACTCTTCTCTGCATTCTTTCTAGAGTCTCAACATCTTTTTTGTATTGTGGCTGCCAAAGAGAATTATGATCCAATGCAATCCAAGCCCACCAGTGCCCGATCTGATGTGCCTCATTCTCCTGACCACTGCTTGTAGGCCTCTTTTTGGTTGGTGTGGCAAACTGAAGGCAGGGAAGAAAATCTGATCCAGGCAATTCTTATCCTCAATGCTCACTTGCAACTTGCTACCAAAAAAATAATAAAACTTCAGCATAAGCATCATGTTTATAAACAAAAGCCTTCCTGCTTTGCCTTGCTTCCAGGTGTTTCAACACTTCATTTTAAATACGTTTTTGAAGACATTGAACAAGGAGGAAAAGTGGAGATGCATTAAAGAAGTCCCTAACAATATAAGAATCACAAAAAAGGAAATCTGGGATTTGGGATGGGGAAAGCCAGCTCATCTCAAGTATTTTTTCATCTTTCAAGTTCAGGCAGTTTTTTTTCCTCTGCTATGACTCAGACTTTCTGCACGATGGTGTCATTTTCTCACATTCATAACTTCACCCCTTTTCTATAAATTTCCTGCTTTGTTGTTGTCTTTCATCTAAACAATCTCTCTTCTATGGTCATTCTAAGCAATGAGGAAATTAAAAGCAGAGTGCTTTAACATCTCTTTTTGCATTTGCTGTGCCCTATCAGTGTCTTAATCTCTTTTCACTTGAAAACCCTGCTTTGGAATGTGCTTGATGGCGTTTTAATAAAGTAAGCTGCCTTTAGTCTCTTTTGTTCTGTGGCAGCGGACATTTGGAAAAGAGGGAGAAGCAGGTAAAGAAATTAAAATGTTCTTAGGCTTGGTATTCAAAGCCTTTTGGATGGGAAAGGATGCTGGGCAGTTAATTATCTTACTACCAAGCAACTTTGAAGACCTAGTTTCCAAAATGTTGCTTTCAAATGCAGTTTAGTGGGGTTTGTAGAAATACTGTGGACCAAGAGGAGCAGATAACAATCTGTGGAACTGTCACTGTGCTCTTGCCGGCATCACATTAATGTCACCCCAAGAAGTTAAGGATCATTGATTCTGCTCAGGACAGCTGGCTCTGTGCCTTTCAGGGAAACAGATGGAACTTTTTGTGATAAAAAACCCCTTTTCCTTAAGTAGTACCACCTTCTCTGTTTGTCAACAAGACCGACTACATAGGGAGGGAAAAATATCTTAGTCCTGCCGATATATTTAAATATTTGACTTGTCTGCAGTTTAGCCTGTCTTATGTTGAATTAAATGATTGGTGGATTTATCAGTAACCCAGATAACAGAATAAGAGAGTTGGAAGGGACCTTGGAGGTCTTCTACTCCAACCCCCTGCTCAGCTAGGAGACTTTATACCTTTTCAGATAAATGGCTGTCCAATCTCTTCTTTAAAACCTCCAGTAACGGAGCACTCACAACTTCTAGAGGCAAGCAGTTCTACTGAGTAATTGTTCTAACAGGAAATACAAACAATTACTAGTTTGACAGAAAAGACATTTGAGGGCCTGTCCCAGTTTAGTTATTCTACCCATGGATAAAATAACTGTCTTCTGATTGATATATTATTAGATAAAAAGTAGGTGAAACAGCAAGATCATTCAATATAGCATCTGGGTGAAGCCTATCACCAAATATTAAACTATTATTTACTCCAGCTATTTGCAAAATGTCAGTAATTCTCCCACTAGAAACAGGAGCTGTTGAAATGCAGCCTAGCTGGTTCCTGCTGTTCAAGGCTGAATTTACAACATCAGATATGGTCTGTTGGAAGAAGATGCTCCAATTTATAACTTCTGCTCAAGGGAGAATCTGCTTTTTCAGAAGCAGAAATTATTTGCTTAGTCGTCCTCCAATGATCACCAGAAGTATTGCTAGGTTTCCCAGCATATCATCTCCAGCCTCAGAAAATCTTTTTTATGGGATCAAAAGACCGCTAAAATCTTTTTTTCTTTTTCTTTTGTCTCTGAGACTGTCTGGAAAAGTCCCTGCAGTTTTCCTGGCAAGATTTTTCAGAAGTAGTTTGCCATTCCCTGTTTCCTAGGGGTCACCCAACAATGCCTAAGACAGGATTAGAGTCTCCCACTTCTGATGCCTTAACCCAGGGGTCTTCAAAGTTGGCCCTTTTATAACTTGTGGACTTCAACTCCCAGAATTTCTCAGCCAGGCACGCTGAGATCCCTGCCTTAACCATTACACCAAAGAGGCTCTAATGTTAATATTACAAATACCTAATCAAGGAAGCACCTCCTTGAGTTTCAGGTTTCTAACGAAAAAAAATGCAAAAACCACACTGGGGTTTTTTTTGCAGCATTGTAATTATTTTTTTTAATATCAATCAGGTTATTTTTCACTTGTCCTCCCCCTTCCATCTTAAAGTTCTTTAAATTTCCAAGGCAAAAAAAGGGGGGGCGAACTCATACCAACATTTTACACATTTAAACGTGTGTAAAAGTGAACTAAAAAGGACTCCTTTCGCGGATGACAGACTCTGAAACGTGCCTTTCAATCTGTATTGGAATGAACATTGGACAAAATGCGCTCTGATCGCCTCAGACAAATTGGGATAGTTAAAGTCTAAATATGCGTAGGTCTCCCTACCCCATCCCAGATGAAACCGGTTTTTTCCCCCCTTGACAAATGTCTTGCTTACTCCCAAGAGGTCCGCCTCTCCCTGGATCCGGCAGCCAATTCTGCACCATTTCTTCCTAAAGGTAGACTTCGCTACTGCTGGGCGACCTTTCCTACCAGTCTGTCCGGGTGGGTATAAGGCACGGTGTTTCTTCCACCCGACCAGAGTGAAAACTATACAGTAGTCAAGAACAGACGCGAACCTCGACAGAGAGAAGTCGCGAATAGGGAGGACAAAGGTGTGGGCAGAGCTCCCCCAACCGTCTGACCGGAGTGAGAACTACACCTTACGGCGGAGTCACCCGGCGCGGGCGCTTAAGCTTGCAGACCTAGAAAGCTCAGATGGGTTTTCCCTGTTCCGACCGGAGTGGGAACTGCCACGTTCCCAGCAGCGCGCTAGCGGGAACGGGACTCATTCTGGCGCTCGCTCCAGCCGCGTCTCCTCGGGTGCTGCTCTTCCCCGATGGCACAAGTTCCTCTGCAGCATAGCCCAAGAGGAAGGCGAGGGGTGCGGCCCCTTGGGGTCCCGAACAATTCGTCGGAGCTCCCTGGCTGCCTTCTCGAGCAGCCGCTGAAGGGTCTAACATAGGAGCCAGCCTTCAAGATGCTGAAGGTAACGCTGGACCGACTGCCTCAAACAGCTCCCCAACTCCGGGCGCTTTTCTCCACCGCTTTGGTAAGTGGAGTGTGGGTTTGCGTGTCGGAGTAAAGCGTAGCAGTGGGAAGAAAGGCAGCAGTGGCAAAGACCCCAAGCGCCGGGCCTTCCGACCTTTAAATGGGGGGGGGGTTGGTTTTTTTTTTCGGAAGATAACTCTGTGCACAGTCGCCCAGTCAGTTCTGAGGTTCTTTTCCGTGCGTTCTGAGATGCCGATGCCTTCAAAGAAACTCTCTGGGCTCTTAACACCTTTTGTGTGGTGGCTTGTAGACAGGTCTCAAACACTCCTCTCTCTGTGTGTGTCTGAATTACGAGTTGGAATCAAGCCTACTCAGTATTGTCGAAAGGCTGAGGCTCAACCATCTGCCCCCTCATCCAGCTGGGTGAGGTTTCCCCATGTTGAGTCAAATTAAACTGCAAGGTCCACTCCTGGTGGTGCCTTTCCAGTGATACTTCCTCCCCAGAACCCCAAAATCTAGGAAGCTGATGTTGAAATCCAAGAACTTCCAAGCTTGACACCCCCCCCCCTAATAACAAACCTTAGGGTTGCCAGTCACACCCATCTCTTGGCTAACTCTTTGTATATTCGTTTAAGAGCCTGGTCATTTGGGGGCTGGTTTATTCTCAGCTACTTACTTACAGTATCTTCTGAGGCTGACCAGTCACTGTTACATTGATATAACAGTAAGGAGGATGGATTCTAGCTCACCTCCATGATGACTGGATGATACTAGAAGGTGCTATAGGGAGGATCCTCAGTAGAGACCTAACACTATCCCGTAGTGCAGTGGTGGGATTTAAATATGTGAACAACTGGTTCTCTGTGTGGATGCCACTTCTGGATGTCCATTCTGGGCCTGGGCAACAAAAAATTAGCTACTACTTCCTCCAAACTGGTGCAAACCAGCTGAATCTCACCACTGCCCTAGTGTCATGATATGAGAGATGATGAGGCTGGAAAAAGGATAAAATGAAGAGGAGTCAAGAAATAAAAGATGAGTCTGCTGACAGCTTATTTCATAAGCTGCAATTCAGTATATAGCATTAAACTTGGGAGGAAGATTTTCACACTGGTCAAATAGACTCTGCTTTAACAAATCATGCCGAGGGTTGGACAGTTCTCTTGTAGTTCCCAATATTTTGTATTTTACTCCTGGCTCTAACATTAGAGACACCAAATTGAAGTTGGAGTAGTTCTTACTTCTGCAATCTTGACAGGCTGTATAGGATTTGACTCAGCTGACCATGGTTGAAGTGATGCGAGACTTATCCCCATTAGGGCTATAGCAACTCAATGAAGCCTATATAAGATGCTATGTCAGGTCTGTCCAACCTTAGCAACTTTAAGACTTGTGGATTTCAACTTCCAGAATTCATACTGGTTGGAGAATTCTGCTGGTTGAAATCCACAAGTCTTAAAGTTTCCAAGGTTGGACATCCCTGCTGTAAGTCACAAGTGGGAACCATCTTTGGGCAAGCCTCCCAGTGACTTCATGTGACATCTATGTCATTTTCTTGGCTACAACATGTGTTTTGTCCTTGTCTTCTTCTGGGATGTATTTTCAATGTCTCGGTCTAGCTTACAACCTTGAATTTCCTATTGGTCTCCCATGCCTAAGTCTAGCTGTTTAGGTTTTCCAAGATTGTTCATGTTCTAAAACTTTACTTCATCTTTCCATCTTCTCTATCTCCTATCTTCTGGGTTTTAAAAAAATCTGCCTGGCTAGTTTGATTTCTCTTCCACTATGCATACGGAAGTTCAAGGGGGCCCTTCCATTTCCTTCCACAATGACAACCCTTTGAATATGGGCTGAGAGAGAGAGCAATGGGCCCAAGAGTATCCTGTGGGTTTCTGTGGCTAGGGAGGGTTTGAACAAGTGCCAGCCTGATCTCTTGGCTCCTTCATCTCATGAGCTGTCAGTGCCATTGAATTATGAAAAATATCCACACAACTGGAACTAGCTGCAGGAAATTATTTTTCTTCTTTGGAATATGTGAATGTGAAAAGATGACCATGGGCTTCAAAAGTTATACTAGGAACTAGGTGGTCTTAGTAGTACCCTATCACTCCACTCATGCTTAATTTCCCTGTCAACTTCTTATCAAATAAATCGGGAAACTTGTTCACTCTTAATCAGGAATCTGAAACACCTTTCTGACAACAGATAGTCCTCGACTTATGATCACAACTGAGCCCCAAATTTCCACTGCTAAGCGAGACAGTTGTTAAGTGAGTTTTGCTCCATTTTATGACCATTCTTGCCACAACTGTTAAGTGAATCACTGTAATAGTTTGGTTAGTAATACAGTTGTTAAGTGAATCTGGCTTCCCCATAGAAGATTGCAAAAGGGGATCACATGATCCCGGGACACTGCAACAGTCATGAATACATGCCAGTTGCCAAGTGTCTGAATTTTGATCACATGTTGCAATGAGTTGTAAGTGTGAAAATCTGCCATATGTTGCTTTTTCAGTACCATTGTAACTTTAAGTGGTCACTAAATGGATGGCTGTAAGTTGAGGACTATCTATAACAGGTTTTGTTAAGAGGCACAAGCTTGTGTGAACTGCAGTCAATGGGCACCCTGTGTACCTGATGAAATGAACCTCAGTTCACAAAAATGTGTATCCTTTTAATAAAATTGGCTGGTTGGAAATTGTGCTGTCAGACTGCTTTTGATTTTTGCTTCTATCGACTAACATGGTTCTTCTTATATTGCTTTGAAGCTCGGCTTTCTCTTGACTGACTGAAAATGGAGTGCAAGGCTGCCCCCTGATGTTGATTTTCAGCCAAAGAGATACATTTTGGGGTTCAGATGAGGAAGATATTATGGGATCAATAAAATAATTTGTCCTCTGAAGAATGAAGCATGAAGAAGGACTGGCCTTATTGTTAAATTCAGAGAGAGCTGATAAGGAAGCATTTGGACAAAGGATTATACAGCTCTGAGAGTGTGAGAAGGCAACTCGATGCTATCTTGATTTTGCTTAGAATCAGGTGGGACAGAGAGAGAGCCTTCCAAAGTTTTATTATTCTATTTTATTACAATAAAGAGGATTCCTGGAATCCTTGATGAGCCTGTTTCTTGACTCGGCCTATCTGAATGGGGTGATTTGAAAAATAAAACAAACAAACAAAATACAAATAACTGAGCAGTAAAACCCAGCTCAAAAGCATCTGCTTTTCAACAGTGATAAAGTCTGCTGAATACATTCATGCAGGGTTTTTGTTTCTTGTTCTTTTGGCAAAAATATAAAAAGTTTATTGTGGCTTTCCTTCATGGTTTCATTTATTTATGATGATGAGTTTATAATCCTGGTATGTCTGTGCGGTTGTTCCCTGTGTGTGGTTTTCCCTCTAAACAAGTAGCTTGTTTCGATTGTCTGAGCCATTCCAGGTTGGTTAGCTGCTGCTCAACAGCAGATCCCTATTGAGATGGACTCAGCATTTACAATTGGAAATCATTGTGACTAAATCTTGAAAGTGATGGCTTTTTAGACAAAATATGTTAAATTTATTTATTTATCCTTTTTATTAATTCAGTTTATTGTCCGCCCATCTATCCAAGAAGCCCGGGTGATGAACAAAATGAAAACATAGCATTTCATTATAGCAACAAGAAGAAAAACCCAACTAAAATTGCATTGTGGCTCAATAAACCATTATTACTCATTCATCCATGCCAGAGCTTTGCTACCACCCAATGACTGGGGTAATATTTTTGTCATTTGGCTAAGAAATTCTATATAAGGTCCACACTTAGAAGCTGTTATGTCCCGAGCCTTGCAAACGGCTCGGGCGTTTGCAGGCAGTCCCGGGCAGGTGCAAGGCTGCCCGGGACCAGACAGGCTGTCGCCCGCGCCGTGCGCATGCGCGGGTGCTGGCGCGGGAAAAGTAACACATTTACCTGGGAGTTGCCTATATAAGAGGCTGCGAGCGTTTGGGAAGTTTAAGGAAAGCCATCTACTTGTAAGCTGAACGCAGAATAAAGAAAACTGAGAACTCCAACTGCTTCTCGTGTCTGCTTTGCGCCAAGGACTCAACACTGGCGACGAAGGTGGGATTGCCTTACACCGCCTGAAAAGGAAGAAGTGTAAGCTTACCCAAGTGAGTCCTGAGCGGCGGAACGGCGTCGACTCGGCAGCTACCCGCCAATCCAGTGCGCATTCGGAGGTAGGCTGGCTGATAGACCCGTCTCCTGAAGATGGCGAAAATCGGAAGGCTTTCGGAATTCGACGTCTCACATCCAGAGCGGTGGGAGTCATACGTAGCCAGGGTGGAGACCTACTTCAAGGCAAACCAAGTGAGGGAAGAGAGCTTGAAGGCTGCCACTCTGCTTTGTGTTTGCGGTCAAGACGCCTTCGACATCGCAGAAAACCTTGCAGCACCTGTTCCAGTAGAGTCTGTCAGCTACGCAGATCTGAAGAAGCTACTGAAGGAGCACTTCCACCCCAAGATGTCCGTCATCGCATGGCACCACACCTTCGAGCAGAGGGATCAATGGCCCGGTGAGTCGGCCAAAGAATTCATCGCCGCATTACGGAAGGCCGCCAAGCACTGCGAGTTCAAAGACCTCGAAGAACAACTGAGGGACCGATTTGTGTGCAGGTTAAGGCATCGAGATCTACAACAGAGACTTTTCGCTAAAGAAGAATTGTCCTACCAAGATGCCTTAAGGGAAGTCACCGCAGAAGAAGCAGCAGGCGGCGCTGTCAAGAACATGCGGCCGATCAAAAACAGTCCAGAGGTTGCATCCGTGCACCAGGAAGACGTCCAAAGAAACTCCGAGGAGGATCCGGACGAGGAAGTCGACCGTCTCCACCCCCCGAAGGAAGAAAATCAGAAGGGAAGCTCTTCAGCTCCGCTCAAGTGCATCGGCTGTGGAGGTCGCCACAGGAGAACCGACTGCAAGTTCCGCTCCGCTACCTGCCGGGCATGCGGCAAACAAGGACACATTGCCGCTGTGTGTCTGGGCCGACGAAAGGTACAACCTCAGGAAGAACTGCGCCTGAAAGGTAC